GTCCCGAGTTTAGAGTGGCGACGCTGGAAGCCATGGACGTCAGCAGCCTCAAGGCACTTATGTGCCCGTTTGTTGGTAGAATCGGATCTTCGGGTTGGAAGGAATTGCGACTAGTTCGGAGTGAATTGACTTGGATCCTCAGACATCGACTGGCTTCCTCAATATTCCGGACTCTGCACCAAAAGTCCGCGAGGCCCCGGAAACGGAGAAGTTGCTGGACCCTGGCGGCCTAGCAACCTTAATGCAACCAGGCAGCATTCTGTTTTGTTGCCACAGCGGACACCCGTCTTTTGCTGCAAAGCTTGCCCGGAGTCCAGCCGATTGCAATTCCCCTCGCCTTACACTCCCAAAGAATGAAGCACCAGGATTGGTAGCAGTGCCTGTTTTGGAACACGCAAGTCGAAGCAGTCCCGTTGTGGGAACAGTCAGTCCTTCAGCCAAGGCAACTTGCAGAGCAAGCACTGGAACAGGCAGGTGTGGAGATTTAGTAGTGCACCACAGTACCACAGACTTCAGCATATCGCCCGGTGGAAGTTCCTTTTCAGGCAGGGACCGGCATGGGAGATCAAGAGACTTGCCAGGGTCAAGCAGAAAGACTAAGATACTCCGAATGACAACGAACCAGTCGCTTTGGCCAAAGATGGCCCGACACACATTCTACAGAATTTGTTGCAGACCTTTGAGGCTCCAGCATCTTCGAAAAACCAAGTCCGGCGGGGTGGGTAAGCTTGTCTACAAGTTCGGCCGAAGTGCGTGTACACTTGAAACAGGCAGCCAATTGAAGGCACGGGCTTTATGAATGCGTGCGAGCAAAGGCTGCAAAGACCCAAAGCTCCGTGATGCTTGAAAGTCTGCAGACGATCTATGCAAAATTTTACAAAGGCGTCCATGTCTCTAGCTGGCTTCAGATAATGTGATGATTGTTTGTTCAGATCTAGCTGGGGCTGAAGATTCGTGGTGCGGAGGACAGTAGTAACATTCTGAATGCACCCAGTTCTCGAGAGGTATCAAAAGTCTCGGAGATCTCCACGTGGCTTGGCACATTGCAGCGCCAGTCGTTCTTCATCAGCTCTTTAGATGGGTCATGGTGGGTCTTGGATGAGGGGACCTGGATGTCTTGTTTCTCTCCCTGTGATATTAGGCATCTGACGGAGCGACAAGCTGCGATGGAGTCTCAATCCGAGGACTGCTGCTAAGCTCTTCAGCTCTTCGGTAGATGCATTCTGGTGAGTAGATCATGAACCATCGCCTGTCCCTTCGAACTGTGCTTTCAGGAGTTCGGCCGCGCACTGCTGGGTCTGCTGAGTGATTTTCAGGCGATGCTTCTCGTGCCAACTGCTGCAGCGAATGTCTTTGGACTCAGTGGCTTCCGCTTGCTTGGCTGATGCATATGCCACGGACAGGGACAGCGCCTGTGAAAACATCGAACTGGGAGCGAGCGTCGAGGGCACTTTTAAAGACCATCCACAGCATGCAGCTGGGGGGGGGAGGGGCGGCGCATCCAGAGGGAGGGCATCAACTTCTCCTGTTGAGTATGCATATGCAGCTGCCGAAAATGGAGACTTGGCAGAGTTGTACCAGGCTTCTGAGACATATACATGTGCATATTACATATGCATACAGGTAGGTACACATTCACATGCTTGTACGAACAGGTACATACTTCCTTATCCACTCAACTACATGACTACATACATACAGACATACATACATACGTACGTACATTCATACATAGATGCATACATACATACATACATACATACATAGATGCATACATACATACATGCATACATACATACATACGTACGTACATACATACATACATACATACATACATAGATGCATACATACATACATACATACATGCATACCTGCATGCCTGCGTACCTGCATTCATATGTATATCTGTATATACACCCATATACATACCTATCTGCATGTGCCCGCACTCGCGTGATTTGTTGAGTGAGCACCACCACAATTCTCGACTTTGCCGAATCTCAAAGGTTGGAGGAATAATTACGTGGCTACATCCATCTGCAGAACCCTGCTGCTTTGCAGGTCCACAGTGCGCAGGCAGAGGAGAACTGGGCTTCTTTCGAGGAGGCCCACTGCTGGCGCCAGTGCTACTCGGATGGGAGATCCAGGGTTCTGACCCTTGTGGTGGAACCGGGGTCAGCTTTCGGGCCGTGGGATGTGGCAAATGTACTTTTCAGAGAGTGCATGTGCGTGTGTGTGTGTGTCCTCTTGTAGTCGATATGCTCATGTCTGTCCGTGTGGATGCTTGTGTCAATTAAGTGTTGGGTATGCCAGGAACTCATGTGCAAAACGGGGGGAGCTGTGGACAGGTCTAGTCCAGCCTGTGGTGTGCCGGCTGGAGCTGCAGAGATTTCAGTACACTTCTTGACGCAGGCATTGAGCCGAAGAGCGGCAAATACCGATGACGCGACATCTGCATCAGAAATTAGATGTGCCTCGTCGTAGCCTGGTCGCCTTTCCGCATGTAAGCAGTCAGCATGCGAGTGGTCAGACAGAGTCAGACATCTTCATCAAGCTTAGTCACAAAGCTGTCATGCTCTCAAGTGGACGATTTCATTGAGAGGTGGTGTCCTGCGCATTTTCGTGAGGATTCAGAAGCACACGCCGGTGTGGGGCAGATTTGGCCTCCCTACTGCTGACTGCTCCATGCACTAAGCGACCGGCATGAATTTGCATGGGACAAAGCATCCCGCAAATTCGACTGGCATGGCAGCTTCACCGGTCGTCTTGATGCATCGAACGCTGGTGTGTGCCTGGATGACTATGAGGCTTCCAGGCACGGTGGTCCGGTGATGTGGCTGCACGTTTGGCAAACTCTGCCACTTGCACGACCAAAAGGCAACCAGTGAAGAGAAGTTCAGACGCCGATTGTTTGCTGGACTGTCAGTATCGTAACTGGTCCCACTCTCCTCTCGTCACCTCCCAATAACAAGTGCCGATATTGGGCGACTCGAGGCTGTTTTAGAGACTCCCGCTCAGGGCTTGCACTCACATCTCTCTCCAATGAGCATCTCTCCGCTGACAGCCTCCCAACTCATGAGGCACATTGCCGACAAGCGCCTCGGCGCACGCAGCCGTGCCGAGTTCCTGCGGCAGCAGATCCTGAGGGGCTCGCAGGCATTTGCCTGCAAAGTTCGAAGAAGTTTCCGCACAGCCTCCGTTCGTATCACACACGCATAGCGGCATAGCGGGACAATGATTGAATCCATCATAGCTGCATGTTCCAGTGTGCAGCCGGCACTGCACATATGTTATTCAGCCATTCACATTGCGCCGGAGATCTCATTGCACTTTCCCCTGCTGGACTTGTACCCTAATCAAGCCGCAGTTGCCGCCATGGAGTCTTAAGCAATGAATTCCAAAGTTGGGGCAAAGTTGCGGTCCAGCGGTTCATGTGCACTTCCTTCGATTGTCACATCCGTTAATTATGTTGGCAGTGTTTCGCTGTCACCGCGCTCCCCTCGCCAGGAGGAGACCGTACTGAGGGGCAGCGATGCCTTTCAACAGCGCAGTGCCCCAGGACAACATCGACTGCAGTTTGTCAAACGGTGATCGATAAGACATGAACTAGGTGGAGTAAGGCTCGGGACTTGCAGGTTGGGATGCACAGCTTTGGGCTTCTGGATACGCTGTCTTTCAAGCCGCTGCATAGGGTCGCGGATGTTGAGCCTCTAGGACAAAAAACCGAACTTCGGGAATCCCGTGCAGGCTATACAGAAGTGGACAAGCTCCAGCCCGAAGGCGTGAAAGGTGCGCAAGCATCTCACTGTTCCAGCTCAGAGGGCGTGCAGGGAAAGAGCATCTTGGCGTCTCTGGCAGGTCGACCGAAGCCTCCATCACAGTTTTCGCCTTAGCCGCAAGAGAGTAGCCGCCCTGCACGACCATGTGCCGACTCCATGCCGGGTGGAGAGTGCAGCCGCCGAAGTCTTCTGCAAAAGCGAAAACTGCATTGGTTGGTTGGCGTAGACATTTGTTTTTTGCCAGCATGACCCCTGCAGCATCTCGCGCTCTCGCGCGCCCGAGGTTGCTGGAGGGTGCAGGTTCGGAGGACGAGGTTCCGAGCGGGCTGGAGGGTTTTCTTCCGAAGCAGCAAATCGGAGCGCAGTGATCTGAAGAGAAGGTATTCCCACTGCAAATCACCGTGGGTTGATCCAGAGAGACCCTTAGCTTCAAGCTCCAGGCTTCTTCAGCGGAAGAGTCCTCCGGATCAGAGCAGGCGGATCTGAAAATGCATGAGTTGAACGGCAGGAGAGAGTAGACTCTACGGCGGAAAGGTAGCTGTGAGCTCTCTCAGGTGGCCACCGGCACTTCGGAGAGGCCGCGTGCCCCCAAGTTTTTCACCGCTCACATGTCTTGACGCCTCGAGACCCTCGGATACCGTCTCACCATGTGGGCTGTCTCCAGAATCATGTTGCTCAAGTTGAGCCCTGCCGCTGTACAGCTGCATGGGCAACAAGTGTAGCAGCTGTGAGGACGATTCAGCGGCTTGCAATGTCAAGCAGAGCCATGCCGATACCTCGACACAGACGGAGAGACCGAGCGACTCCGACACCGCGGTGCCCGATGCAGAGTCAGCGCCTGTGCTGGGCCTTCAAGGCTGCACCGTGCTGAAGCCCAAATCCACCGATTATTCCTTAGCTCTGAGCCGCGAGGATCAGCTCGACAGGGCCGGAATGCTTGAGGTAGACGAAGAACTACTCCGCGCAGTGCCCTTGAGCAAGTGCTTGCGAAAGGCAGGAAGACTTTGGTCCAAGAACCCTGCGGATATCACTCACGCAGAGCGGGTTGCCTTGAGCAAGATGGCAGAAGTGGCAAAGTCCTTCGATGTGTTCATCTCTCACAGTTGGACCTCCACGGGACGCTCAAAGTTTCTGTACCTGCTGTTGCGAGAAGGGGCTTCGTCAGCACTGCTATTCTGGTGCATCGCGGTTGGTATGGCCATGCTTCTTTGCTCTGTGTCTGCACTGCCTATGCCGGCCGACTACATCATTCAGATCCTCCAGTTCCGCAAGGCAGCCCCTTTCGGCTTTTGGGTCTTCGGCCCGAGCTTGGTCGCTACGGCAGCCGGGCTCGCACTGGCTCCTTACATGCCAGCCAGGCATCGCACGAAATGCTTCGTGGATGTGGTGAGCATCAACCAGGCACGGATAAACAAAAGAGCAAATACTCTGCGGAAGCCTAAATTGCTTCAAAGCTCACGAAACCCACTAGAACACAGCCTCCGAGACTGTCTCACGTGCTGCAGGCGAATGAGGAGCTGATGCAGCGCGGGATATACAGCATAGGTGGCTTTCTGAGCCTTTCCCGAGAGTTGCTGGTCTTGTGGTCCCCACCATACTTGTCGAGGCTTTGGTGTGTGCCTTGGACTCATCGAGCAGAGTCGGTGGCCAGGATAAGGTGTTGTTCCTACTTATCCCGGGCACATCCTTGCGAGAAATTTCGAACAAAAGTTGCTTGTGCTCTGCGAGTCATGATGTCTAAGGTGTTCGAGCTAGCAGCATACCGCCATGCTAACCCACATGGCAAGATCACCTTGGTCCCATTGTTCATGGCAAATGTCATCTTGCTGCTCTTTTTCAGCATGTTTGCCCTCGGAGGGGCAGTGATGGCAGGGATCCTTCTCGGCACCGCTGATCCGGGAGGCAACTTTGGATACTTTGGACTTCTTTTTGCTGTGCTTTGCCCACCTGTGAGCTGGGCTGCACATATCATGCGAAAGAACCTCTACCAAAAGCAGGCCCTGTTGGAAAGCTTGCAGCGGTACAAGCTCAGCAACAGCCTCTGCCGCATGGACTTCGATCGTGAGTACGTGCACAAGGCCATTAGTACATGGTATGGCAGCAATGCAGGCTTCGAAGAGTACGTACAAGGGCCTTTGCAGCGCGAGCTCACTGGCAAGTCTTATCAGCTTGTGCTTCCTTTCAACTTGAGATTCTTGATTCTCCTTCCTGTGATCAATGTTGGTGTTGAGGAGGTCTTAAGCCTCGGTGTGGCCAGGGCTCCATTCGAATGCCTTCTTTGCCAGCTCTTGGGACAGTCCCTAGCTGCGAATATCTTGTGGGGGAATGTTTCCATAAACCTGTTCGTCACTCTCTGCGAGCGCCTCGCCAGTCCTGCACGGAACGTGGCCTGCGACGCTTTGAAGTCTGTCTTTATCTACTTGGCCTTCATGGGAACACTGCTTGGTGGTAACTTTGTTTCCTTGATGACTCGAGAGACGCACATCTGGGCAGTGGTGGCCTGGAGTGCATTTGCGGCGTGGGTCTTTTTCTGCACTTTGAGGGTATAGTCACATGGCCAGAAGAACGAAGAAACGTGCAGGAGACCACCACATGGTCCAATGTCTGTCGGCGGACCGGCTTCTCCACCAAAGGTGGACAAAGTCCTGCTGTGCAAATATGACTTTGTTTCAGGTTCGTGACCAGTACGGTTTTTGTGTTTCCAGAAAATGAGTCCTGCCACGCAATTGCCGTGTCCGACTTTCTGTAAGTTCTGGATTCTAACTTTTCAAGTTCATTTGTGCTTTTAGATGCTTGGCCGGCAAGGGGATATTTCCTGCTGCTCCGAGCATGAAAAGCACGATCGTTGCTGAAGGCAAGAGGGATATCTGATATCTTCTAAAGACGAGCGGAGAAGTTTCACATGTTCAGGCCCGTCCATGGCCCCCGGAACGCACCGAAATCCAAGCGGCGACGACTGGCGCTGGGAGGCAAGATTCGGGAGTTGAGTTCCACAGGGAGAATCGAATTTCCGCTAGCTTTGCTCCGCAAACCGCCCTCCTAAAACACACACACACACAGACAGA